GAATATATTTTTTTTGCAGCTGTTTGGAATGGCGTGCAAATAACCTGTGACTCTGAATACAGAGAACCGATCCGTCACCTTTCAATTATTCAACCATCATTATTTAATTTCTCACTTCGTAGTTCATAGTCTCTAAATAGTGGCCTATATCAGAATGGAAAAAAAATTTTTTTCGCTAGTAAATTCCGGCAGCAGCCAAACAGGGAGGGCGAAATTGCTACGTTCAGGTCTTGACATGACGTTTTTCACTACCTTACACACGTGTGACGTATCACATCAAGTGACCTGGATTGAAACGTTTTCAAAATGGCCTTCAAGGATAGCAATCAATCAATCTTTATTGTACTTAGAAGGTAATTTACTGTTGACAACTGAGTTGAAAACGTAAATTGGCCACAATAAAGAGTAAAAAAAGCTGACGTTTCGAGCGTCATCCCTTCGTCAGAATGATTCTTTGTACTCACTCTTGATCAAAAAGATCATTCCAAACACTTCTTGTATTATAAATGTATCTTTTATTAACTTGTGTGAAGAAAGTATCAAACACACATGGCAGACGTCTATTGTGAAAGTTATACATAAAGACTGCGATATTAAGAAAGACAAGGTCAGGCAGTTTAACAATATTTAAGCATTTGAAAATTGGACTGGAATGCTCACGAAATTTTGAGAAAGTCAACACTCGTATTGCTCTCTTTTGTGAAACGAACAAAGGCTGGGTAGTTGAAGAAGAGGGGTTACTCCAAGAAATTAAACCATAGGTTAAGAAGGGATATATTAAAGCATAATATAGTTTAACCAGAATATCTGAATTCACATAATAACGAAGTTTAGAAAGAATCCCAATATTGCGCTTAATCTTTTCAGCACTGTGGCGTACTTGACTTTTCTAAGATAAATTAGAATATATTACAATACTTAGATATTTTGTTGAGTACTCTTGGTTTAAGTTAATGCTATTTAAAGAGAGTATGACATGAAAGGGTAACTTTCTTCGTGGAGGGTGGAAAATGACAAAAGTCAACCAAGTATGAATATTTACTAGTTCATTGTTTACTTTGGATTCAGGGACTTAAAGATTTTTGCGTTTATAAAGGTTTGGCGAAAATATGCCCCAAAGTATGAAAAGGCAAATGGCTATACAAAAACTTTTCTCCGTAACTGCCAAAAACCAGTTACAAATAGTAACGCTCTTGCTGAAAGGGAACCAGCGACTGGTTTTGCTGTTATTCCTTACATACAGGGTGTTACTGAACCCATCAAGAGAATTTTGAATAGCCACAACGTTAAAGTTGCTCAAAAGCCTTTTCAGACTTTGGGGCATATTTTCGCCAAACCTAAGGATCCTGTCACGAAAGAACAACGAACCGATGCCATTTATTCTATTCCTTGCAATGACTGTGACAACGAATACATCGGACAGACCAAACGCCAGTTTGGTACACGGTTAAAAGAGCACCAAAAAGCGGTTTTTTTTTGAAAAAAGGAAAATTCAGCTTTATCGGAGCATACTTGCCTAACCAACCATACAATTGGGTGGGATAATTCTAAAATTATCACCACTAATCGGCGTTACCACCAGCGCCTTTGTTTGGAGGCTTGGCACATTAACTCCGCCCACGCTCCTTTAAATCGTGACGATGGCGGTCTGTTTCCTGACGCCCATTTACACCTCGTCAGAAAAAAGGCCGCTAATTAGTGATCATATAAAAGGACCTCTTGTTGCAGCGTTTAGATCACCCCTGATGAAGGCACTAGACAGGAGTGTCGAAACGTTGGGTCTATGAATTGTAACTTCTTCGGTTACATTCATTAAATCTGCAAACCAGTGTAGCATCGAACTATGTCTGATTGTCCACCTGGTTGCCGTGTGAACTTTAATAAATCAGGAACAATTCCAATAGAATAAGAAGCATTGACTATAATTTCTAGAGGTGCAGATATAACATGTTTGGTAGATTTTAAAATAGCAACTGGTATGCTGTAAGGCCTAGTAGACTTATTAGCATTAAGCGCAATAATTTCATTTTCATAGAAAGAAACTGTCTTGCGATGGGGCTGTGAGACACCGAATGGAGGATTTATTTACACGAGGAATATTCTTTGTCAAATTATTTCCAATATTAGCAAAGAAATTATTAAAAGCATCAGCCGTTGACTTTGAATCATTTAATTCAACATCCTCAACAAGTAATTTAGTGGGAGTAGAGCCAGATCTGGATTTAAGATTAACAAGTTGTCTTATCCCCTATCAGACTCTCTTGGAATCAGACTTGCTTACATGGAAATAATAATTATAATAATTGTTTTTACTTACTTATAATAAGTGATGAAAATTATTTCTACAAAGTTTTCATTTGGTGCGATAATATACAGATTCAGCTGAAATATACTTCTTGAAAAGGTTATTTTTTATGTTGACTGAGACCCTCAAAGTGGTAGTTATTCATGGCTTAGATTTCATTCTTTATAAACGTTCAGAGAGTTGTATGAGAGGGATATGAACATCAATTATGCCTTTTTGAGACTCTAGTGTAAAAGGAGTCAAACATTATATTAGGATCAGGATCAGCATGTAATACACCTTTCTCTGTTCGCTTTCCTTTTACTCGGAAGACGATGGCTCGTTGATATATCCTCTTTTTTCAGGTCAACACCCATCTTTCGACCGAGCTCCACAACAATTTCGTTCGTATCTTCCCGCGTGTCACTAGAAGTCTCTGGAATACCCCGGATTTCCATGCAGTCTCGTCTCGAGTATTGTTCAAGTTCGTTAAATGATTCCTTTAAAGGAGAACTGAAGTCCGAATTCATGTAATTTTTTTACCGTGTATCGTACATTTATGTATGATGGAACAAATTTCCGTCATTTTTTTCCCTCGAACGACAGTTTTCACCTAGAAAACGAAGGGTTCTTAGTGATAATTGGCTCGATATTTGACTGTGGTACGTCGGCTCAGAACACGAATGTCAGCGGTTCTTTTTGTAGCGTGTGACGTAGGTTATGGGGATGAAGGTAAACACGGCAAGAAACAGGCAATTTGAATTCAGGACTGCGGCTTGCTCACGGGAAATAATTTTTGGTTTTCCAGGAGTAAAGATTGTGCAAGGTGAAGCAAAAAATGATTCAAGCGCCTCTCATATTAGAAAATTGGTCTTCTATCCAGGGATTGTCTTATAGAAAAATATTTTGGCTTTCGTAACTCTGTGTCTCTGATACGTAGTTACGTCCAGATTATGTGCGGCGCAATTTTTATACTTAGATTGACCTCGATGTTTTCGAAATAGGGTCTCCACTTTAATTTTTCTTACATACTGGTGATATTTCATCTTCCATTCTGTTTCCCAGATTTTGTTATTTACCTTTTTTAACTTTAGTTTGCAACGCGTTTGTAGTCTGGATTTTGCAATGGCATGTACGATAACGCACGCTGTTAACAATGTCGCAAGAAGTCCAAAAGGAAATAAAATTTTGAAATTCGTGCTGAACTTTAGTTTATAAGTTCTCTATAATGGGTTGAATTCTTTGCTTACGCAAGAAGGGATGTACAAATACGGATACCTGAGTTGTTTGAGTTTATTCTTCTATCTGTTCTTGGCGGTGGAGTAGCCCTCGTTGCTATATTTACTTCGATTACTTTCGAACTAAAAAATGGTATACTGCGCGGCGTTCGATTGTAACAACGACTCGAGGTACACAACTGGTATATCCCACCTTTGCCTTCCGAGGGATGAAGCTCTACGATCACAGTGGCTGGCAAAGATCTCACGAGCGGATCCTCATCATTTATGCATGATTGATAAAAAAAATTGAAAGGTGAATGCTGTTTGGGGGCAATAACAATTTATATCTTAAGGAATATCACCCGAATAGGTTGCATTGAGAAACATTAAATTTTCGCAGAAAAGTATTTCTTCTCCTTAAGCAAAACAATATCCTGCCATGGAATTCCTTCTAGTTTCATGTTTTTTTTTCTGAGTCATCTTTGTACTTTGTCTCTCCTGAAAATTTTTGACCAGTAAGTAAACAAAATTAAATTGTTTCAGAATAAAAGGATTATTCCTTGTTAATTGGCAGGTGAAAAAAATTAGTACAAGTAGACTATATATAAGTTGTGGATATTATTCTTTAAATAATGAATTCTTTTAGCCTTCTTTACTTCTATGTGAATAAAAACTCAATACAACTGGAAAAAAACCAGTGCAGGCTTTCAACCAAAGAGGGTAGGGTCAGGTGTTACATTTTCCAAGAAAATCCCATTAAATCATTGCTATAACCATATAGTAGCAGAGTTTATCCCCCATACCTACATTTTTCATTCTCTCAAAGGGTCACTAACTCATACCATAACAGAGTTAATATTTTTTCTGTTATAGCCTCTGTAACTGCACAACCCAGTTGTGGAATCGAAGAACATGCAGCTTTAGCTTTAGAACAGCCGGCACCTGTTGATATAGTGAATTGTGGAGCAAGTACATCAACCTCAGACAGCCCATCATATCCATTCACAGATGATTTAGGGCCTAAAAGCACTTTGGTTGAGTTACAAACAGTACAGGTGAATTTGCCAAACAAGGGTGTGGATTTTGGAATCCAAGTCAATCTTCGTGGTCTCCATTTAATGATGAAATCTACTGACACCCAAGTCGAGGTTGATGTTTCAGAAAGCAGCACCCAGACTGAAGAGGTATTCCTTCCTGAAATTGAAGATAGCAAGGAAGAAGCAACTGAAGGTGCTGCTTCCCCAGAAGTCTCTCCAAGAAAAGATGGCATCTACCTTCCCACAAAACAGGAAGATTCAGATGATTCGAACATGTCAGGATCAGTGAACGAACACCAAGAGGAAATAAAATAAGAAAAGTCACGGGATGATACCAAATACATTGAATTTAAACAATAGCTATTTAGATTGTTTAAGTATTGTCCTGAGTGTGGTGCAGCTGTGATTAAGAGGAACCAATCCACACAAGGAAGCCAACTATTTGTCACCCTAGAATGTATGAATAATCATAAGTACTCCTGGCAAAGCCAGCCAATGCTTGAGGGGATGGCAGCTGGAAATTTGTTGCTGTCATCATCTATTTTGCTCAGTGGCTCTACCTTTACAAAAGTAGCATCTTTGGCAGATATCTTAAATTTGAAAATTTTCAGGGAGAAAACATTTTTTAATATTCAAAACAAGTACTTATTACCCGTAATCAATGAGTTCTGGCTTAAAGAACAAAATTCCACTTTTTCTGAGCTAGGGGGGCGAGATCTGTGGCTTTCAGGGGATGGGCGTTGTGACAGTCTTGGCCATAATGCAAAATATGGGACACACACCATGATTGATCAGAAAACTGATAAGATTGTTGACTTCAAGGTTGTTCAGGTCAGTGAAGTAAATGATAGCAATGCCATGGAAAGAGAGGGTTTTAAACGCTGTATGGAAAACATCTATGAAAAAAGGAGGAAAATTATGGTTGTTGCAACTGACCGTCATGTGGGCATTAGGGCTGACCTGAAAAGAAATTTCCCTGAAATTGATCATCAATTTGATGTGTGGCACCTTTCCAAGAGCATAACTAAAAAGTTAACTGAAAAAGCAAACAAGAATGAATGTGCTGATCTCTCTCTCTGGATCAGATCCATCTCAAACCATCTTTTGTGGTGTGCCAAAACATGTGGGGGAGACATGGAGATGTTGAGAGAGAAGTGGATATCCATTGTCTATCACACTGCCAATATCCACTCCTGAGATTCAGCTGACCTGTATGAGGAATGTTCCCACCAACCAATCCCTCCGGCTATCGCCAGAACTAAAAGGTGGCTTAGGCCAGGCTCCTCTGCTCATAATGCATTGAAGGAGGTTGTATTTGCTAAAAATCTGTTGAAGGACATTCAGCAACTAACACTATGCTGTCATACTGGCAATTTATAGGTGTATCATAGCGTGCAGACCAAATATGCACCCAAACGGCAGCACTTCTCTTATAATAGCATGGTTGCTCGAACTCAGTTGGCAGCCCTGGACCATAATGCCAACACTGGTAGGCAACAAGCCACTGTATCCAGGGGTGCCAACCAAGGGGAGCTGCAATACAAGGTAGTGTTTCCGAAAAATACAAAAGAATGGGTGGAAAAGCCCATATTTGAGAAGACAACCAATTATCATCTCAAGCCAATGCTTAATGCCATTGTAGAGAGAAAATACTTAAAACCACAAGAGAGGAATGCAACAGTCACAGCACCACACATTCCTGAAAACATTACTAGCAAACCCCGGCCTCCTAAAGCAGATGTCATTCCGAATCATAAATCGAGATTTTCGAATAACTAAAATACTATAACATTGTGAATAACACAATCAAATGAAAATTGAAAGCAATCATCGTAGCAAAAAGCAATCAAAGTTAGGTTTGAGGTTTAATAACTGCAGTAGGGATGACATTCATTTGGCTTTGCATGGCTTTTGACTGAATCACTATGCAGAAATGTGTTAGTAATTCATATCCTTGATAAGTAATTATATATTTCACGCAAATGTTAGAAAGAAACCGTAACATAGGGAAATAAGAGCCTCTGATGTTATACACGCAAAGGATATGTTATTAATCATTATTAAAGGACATTACGGATAAAGTTCAAAGTTTCGTAGGTTGGTATTTTTGTTAGTAGTTGATAATAATTAGAGTTCGCAGTGGCGATAGACTTCTTCACTTCATCAATCGATTTGTGTAGAGGCTCTAAAGCCTCCTCCGACAAATTCTTGAATCCTTCTGTCGTTAGACCTCCCATAATGGTACGTAGATGAATTAGGACAACATATAACGCGAAAAAAGAAGAAAAAGGAGGAAAACGCAGCCTTGATAAGCTAAATTCACTGTAAATTTAACGAAGCTCAAAAATTACCGCCATCTTTCTTGCTGACCGCAAGGGTAGGGTGTAACACCAAAATAATACAAGATAAATGACAGGAAATAAACTGAAATGTGTCTTCGTGGATTTGTAGACACTGAGGATCAATTGTTCGTTCGAGGCTGGTTGCTTATTTGAGCATTACGTGTGAGCAAGAGTTTATAATTTCTCGATGAGAGCCGGCCATCGATTAAGCGTCAAATAAAATTTGTAGAAAATTTGGTTTTACACAATATGTCGTTTATTTGCGCATTTAGGATTCTTTAACCTAAGAGGAATGTATTGGGACTAAAAAAAGGGCAAATTTTGGCGTTAGTAATTTAATTAGGGATGATACTTAAATTAACACAATAATGACAAACAATCTTTAAGCTGATTGGCACCCGAGAGTCAAGTTTGTGGATAACACGTCTGCCATAGAAATACTACCCAAGAACTCAATCAGTCTGCCCAATTCGACCTTCTCTGACATTCACAATTTTTCTGTGAATCACAACATGAGACTAAACCCAATTAAACGTAAAGAGATGTTAATGAGATGTTAATGAACTTTTTTATCCTAACTTTACTCTAAGACCATTGGTTGTAACAACAACGGTATAGAACGTGTATCGACTTACAAGATTCTAGGAGTATTTATCGATAGCGACCTTAAGTGGAATAGTAATGTTGACTACATGTATAAAAAAGCTTGCAAGTTTTCAAGTTTTTAAGTTTTCATTGTATTATAACTCGTTAATTCAGTAAGTTACTGCAAGAGAGTTTAACAAACTGTTATTATCATTATAATATTACCTGTACAATATTACATTATGCAACGTAGAATTATGTAACATTCGGCGGCATCTGGCAAAGTTTGTAAGGAATCGTCTGCCCTAAATAAGGGGTTCGCTTGAGATCATTTTAATAAGTTTTAAAAATAACTGACAGCGGTAGCTCACCGGAAACGCTTAAAAATGAGTTAAAACGCACGCGAGCGTTGAAGGCTTTCTTAGTTCGTTTCTTTCCTTTTTTAACTCTTTGTCTGAATTTACTGTTAAAACTGTCAACGATAGAGAACAATTGCGTGTTATGTAAGCGACAATCGCTTATGTCACAATCTGATTATCTCTCTTAGGCAGATAATTATCGAAATCTTTCGATACCTAGGAGCAACTTAAGTCTATAGTTACATAACGGATTAGCCTTGAAACTTACTCTGCCAGTCTTGCAGGCCAGAACTGTGGAATCTCTCGGTTCCACGGGGTTCCATTTCGGAAAAAGAAAAAAAAACAGTCCGTCATACTTCTTTAATTACATTATGAACTGATGCTAGGTATATTTAGAGTCTGTTTATGCCATATTGAATTCTTCGTGCTTTGTTAGGTCGTTATGAAAACAGGTCACGTACAACGTTGTTATTTTTGGCAAAAATTATTCCCAAGGCCAAAATGGGCGGACAGTCAAGCTTAAAAGATTACTCCAACTGTCGGAAAAGGGTATAAATTTGTGTACACGTTATCCGGCGCGTGAGACATATAATTGATCATTGTCTTTTTGGGTTGAGTGGCACTGTATAAATTTGGCAAACCAGGGAGGCTCACCATCAATTTGGTTCAGCTGCAGGACACACCTCTTAGGCGGTAACAGTGCTCGTTGCTCGACTTTGCGAAGCAGATTTGAAGATGTCTCATTCAAAATATGTAAGCGAATAGTAGTTTACATGGCTAATAGAATAGGCGGGTTAAGTGCCTCTCCAGAAAATCTTTTTCTCCTGACGGTTTTTGATAATTTTCTTCCAATACTCAGGTTTTAGCCGATGCCATGAAGATGACATGGCTTATGGAGGGCTGTGTCAATGGTCATGCGTTCACCATCGAAGGAGAAGGCACCGGCAAACCTTACGAGTAAGTTTATCTGGAATAACGATCAACCTGTAAATTCTCCTTTTGCGTGGATGCATTGCTGGTCTAACTAAAGCAAATTTGGTAATTTCAGTTATGTTTCATGCGGTCGTTTGTGTCATCTGGCTATGGCTGTCTTGGAAAAAGGGGGTTTATAAATCCAAACTTCATATAGTAGCTCGTCCAGAAGTCATTGTACGCAAGTCACTTATGTGATGAAAACGCACCAAAATAGTCATATGCTACTGATTTCGTTAATGAAAGACTACAATATCGAAAATCCTCTCCATCTGAATATTTCAGAGGCAAACAAACGGGAACATTCCGTGTTACAAAGGGCGGACCCCTTCCATTTGCCGTTGACATAGTGGCACCGACCTTGAAGTATGGATTCAAATGTTTTATGAAGTATCCTGCTGGTATCCCTGACTATTTCAAGCAAGCATTTCCCGAGGGTCTGACATACGACAGGAAATTAACATTTGAAGATGGAGGGAGTGCCATGGCCACCGTGGAAATGAGGTGAGTAATTACTTACTATGTAACTGTTAATCAGCTTTTTAACTTGCAGATTGGACAAAGATCTTTGAGTTACATCTGTGAATGATCGAAAACAAAAATCATTTAAATTGTCTTGCATATTCTGCAACACTACACAAAGATTTGGGCTCGATGTGAAAAAGTGAAAATTCACGACGGATTTCCATGATGAATATCATCATGGAAGCCTCAAAAGTGCAGTAATACAGCGACAACCGCTTGCTTTTCAAAAATAATTAGGCAACACTCAGTTTGTACAAATTGACCTAATTTTTTTAACATTCGTCACTTTCTTCCTTTCAGGCTAATTTTTCTTTCAACATAGTAATCTAACCTGTTGATTTAGAGGTTTTTATTCCATTATAATCTTTTTGCCTCGTAAGGTGGACTCAAAATGTATGTTTTATTCATTTTGCGTTCTGAAATGCTTTCTACTTTGACAGCCTCAAAGGCAACACTCTTGTGCACAAGACCAATTTCCAAGGAGGTAACTTTCCCATCGACGGGCCTGTCATGCAAAAGAAGACGCTTGGCTGGGAACCAACCTCGGAGAAAATGACTCCTTGTGATGGAACAATCAAGGGAGACACTATCATGTACCTTTTGGTCGAAGGAGGGAAAATGCTGAAATGTCGATATGAAAACAACTACAGGTAATTACGTTGGCTTCGACTGCTGTGTACAGACATGTATCTGACTTGATCTTAATGGGTTTCTCTCCCGAGTCCCAAAAAGGCACCAACTGTTATGTAACTTTGCAGTATAAATTCAGTACATTGTTATGAAATTACGTAATAAAAAGCGGCGAACATAGCTTATATATTCAGAAGCAGTGCACCCGACAGTTTAGATTCACCTCCGAGGTTTGCACGTTTCTTCATTCGTCAAATTCGCTTAAATTTCCGAATTTCGTGATCATAACTTTTCAACAGCATCGGATTACAAAACTGCAAAGCTGGATAAAGGTCCATTTGTGGACATTTCTCTGAAATTATTCTGATCGCTTACGATCAGAATTACAACTCGAACCCGCTGTTCGGAAACTGTCTTCATCTTTGTGGTTACCAGGGCGTCGAAGTAGATAACTCAATATCTATACTTCCTATTTCAGCGAGAAATCACGGATCATTCTTGATTTTTTTCCTCCAGGGCCAAGAAAGTGATACACGAGATGCCACCGAGCCATTTTGTGGATCTCCGCCTTGTGAAAACCAACCTTGATAAGGAAGGTTTGAAGTTTCAACTGGAAGAACATGCCGTGGCAAGAGTCCTCGAGGTTTGAGGATTACTGGGAATCACTATCATTGTGAGTCTCTCTTTTACAACAACATGAGATGAATAAAGAGCGTTCTCAACTTCAATTGTTTGTCGGTTTTACATGTCTTTAAACTTTCGATTGATTATGAGGAGTTATGAAAGGAAACGAACCAAATTCCTGCTGTTATTATTACTTGCTTGCAGAGAGTGCGTAAAGTTCGCTTCACAGTTGTCAAGGCCCAAATTTTTCTTACACTGACTTATGATGATTACATAATTTTGATTTCAACTTTATAAATCATTCAAATCTGAAAGAAGATATATGAGAATTGGTGTCAAAAAG